TATGGAAACCAGTGTGGAAGTTCCTCAATGAACTACAAATAGAACCACCATATGGCCACACTATGCTACTCCTTGGTATATACCTGACAGAATCAAAGTCAAGAAACCACAAGGACCCCTGCGTAGTCATGCTTACTGGGGCACAATTCAAAATAGCCAAGATAATGTAACCAGCCTAGGTGCCCACGGATGGATAAAGAAAAATGTGCAACATACTGCACAATGAGTATTATTCAGCCACAAGGGACAACAAAATTTAGTCACTTGCTAGAAAATGGATGGACCAGGAGACAAACCATAATATTAAGTGAAATAAACCAAAGTCAGAAGGACAAGTATTGCATGTTCTCCTTAATACGCAGAATCTAAAGAAGTGGCAAGAATGTAGAAGGGAGACCATCACTAGATGAGAGCAAGAGAGGGCCAGGGATAGAGCTCAGCGGCTCAGCATCTGCCTGGCAAGCGTGAGGTACTGAGTTCGATTCCTGATACCATTTAAAAAAAAAAAAAAACAAAAGTAGGAGACAGACGAGAAGAAGAGAATAAGAAGATGTAAGGATAATGGGGGGCTGGATAAGTACAAAATTCAGTGTATACATTGATCCCCCCAAAAAAGTTCAACTAAGAAGAGGGTAAGAGATGATAAGGGAGTAAGAATGATCAAAGTCTGTTATATGCATGTATAAATCTGCCAGAATGAAAACCATTCATCTCTATAACCAATAAAGAGTGCTGGGGAAAAAAAAAATACAATCATTCAAAAATGTAAAAAGGGCTAAGGGCACGCTTGGTGGTAGAGCACTTGTCCAGCATGCACCAGGCCCCAGGTCCCAACTCCAGCAGTACTGCAAAAATAAAATACAATGAAATAGTCACTTAGATATCAAAATTCAAAGAATGATCAAGTCTAGTGATTTATGGTTAAATTAAGCAGTCAAGGCCAGGCATCGTGGCACGTGCCTGTAATCACAGCACTCAGGAGGCTGAGGCAGGAGGATCCTTACGAGTTCTAGACCAGCCTGGGCTATAAAACCAGCTCACGGCCAGCTTGAACTACACAGCAAAACCATGTCTCAAAAATACAAAAAAAAAGATTAAATGATTTGGGGAGTCTGGACTGACTTACTCAGGTTTGTTTATTTATTTATTATTGGGTCTTTTTGAGACAAGGTTTTGCTATGCAGTTCACCTGGCCTGAAACTCACAGCAATCCTCCTTTCTCATCCTCCTGAGCGTTGGGATTACAAGTATGTGCCACCATGTCAGCCCTTGTTTAGGTTTTTTGAGGCAGGGTCTTGCTTTGCAGTTCCGGCTGGCCTTGAAATTATGGTGATCCTTCTGTCTCAGCCTTCTGAGTGGCTAGGCTTATAGGAGTGTGGCAACATGTGTAACTGGACTGATTTTCATCATTTTACCCAGCAGACCCGAAGCACAGGTGAGAACTGACAGTTACCACTATGCTGATCAAGAACCCAAAAAGGCTAAGCATGACTAATTACAAAATCCAAAGCCCAGAATCCCCCAAAAGTTGAAGTCGTGAACACCAACATGATGCTACAAATGGAAGATTCCACACCTGTACTTGGGTGGCAGACCTCAATCAACACACAGATGCACTAAAGCCAGAGAAAATAACATCACCTTCAGGCTAGGTATGCAAGGTGTACAGGTAGGGCTGGGGTGCAGCACAGTGTCAGGGCATTTGCCTGGTATATGCAAGACCCTGGGTTCCAGACCCAGAAAAAAAAAAAAGTACACAGAAGCATAGTGAGTTTTGTGTTTAGTATCTCCCAAGAGATCTCATCATGTATCGCAACTATTTCTAAAATCCAAAATAAAACAGCTGTGATCCCAAGTATTTTGGATAAGACAATGTGACAGAAACACACTTCTTTCTTTTTTGCAGCACTAGGGATTGAACCCAGGGCTTTTGTGCTAAGCTATATCCCCAGCCCCTTTTATTTTTGAGACTGGGCCTTGCTAAATCACTAATTTAGCAGGGTTGGGCCCAAACTTGTGATTTCCCTGCCTCAGCCTCCCAAAATGCTGGGATCACAAGTGTTTTTGTTTGTTTTGCTTTTTGAAGTACTGGGGATTGAACTCAGGGTCTCAGCCATGTTAGGCAAATATTACCACTGAACTACTTTTGAGTACTCCTTAAATTTTGAGTCAGGATCTCACTGAATTGCTTAGTCTGGGCTGGAGTCATGATCCTCCTGCCTCAGCCTTCTATACAGCTAGGATTATAGGTATGCATCCACCACACCTGGCTTGCAATTGAAGTTTTTCAGATGGCTGGCTATGCTGCTTTAAGCTGTCTCCACAGAATGCCTCATTTTATTCTTGCTGTCACTTTACTGATACTGGTGACTCCTTACCACCATCCCAATGTATCTATACTAGGACAAGAGAAGGGCACAGAGAAACTCAAAGCTGGGGGGGGGGGGCCGCGGCGGATTTAGCTCAGGGGCACAGCACCTGCCTGGCAAGCGCAAGGTTGTGAGTTTGATTCCTGGTACGAGGGGGGGGGGGAAGAAACTAAGAAACTCAAAGCTCAGCTGTGAAGTGAGGGGTTACAGGGCCTGCTCACATCCCATATTCACCAGAATGGCTAAGCTAAAACCACTACTTACACGTGGACACCAAGGTTGGCAAAATCAGTCTTGTAAGAGAGCCAACCTCCTGTGGAACAGTCCCTGACCCATCGTAATCCACATGGAACCAAAGCCTGTATGTTTTCTGACATTCACAACATTGAGTTTGTAGTCCCACTCACTGGGGCTTGAACCGGTAGGTGACCTCATGGGACCCGTCACACCAGCAAGCTGTGCTCCCACAGGACATACTCACTCTGCGGACAGGCGTGGAGGCAGGGGAGGTCCTGATGCCACCCTGCTGCTTCTCAGGAGCAGTTGGCCCCTCGGGTGAGGTGATAGGAGAGGAGCTCAGGGATGAATGGCTAAGGACAGAGTCTTCTTCAGGGCATGATTCAAACACCTCACTCTCTGACGTCCCACTCTTGTCCAGAGGCATCTCAGGAGGAGATCTGCCACAGGGAGGACTTACAGCCAGGATGTCCTGTAAGACCACCACAGGAACTTTCCCTTTAAACAGGAGGCCTCCAGCTTCACTCCAACTACCCTGCTCCTCTCTGGGGCACATACTCAGGCAACCAGGCAGCTTGGGGCAGCTCTGCGGGGAGCTGTCCTGGGAGCTGCCATTCCTGCCTGGGCCGCATGAGCCCCCATGCTCTTCCTCTGTTTTGCAAGGACGGTCTGAAAGGGTCTCTTCAGGAAGCCCCAACTTGTCACTGTAAATGACCTTTAAGGGCCCCTCATCTCCAGCCTCCTCTCTGACCCCGTTGACAGACTCCCCAGGTAGGGAGGCTTTGGGATTTAGTGGATCGTGGTCCACAGTACTCTCCAGCTCCTCATTTGAATCCTCTGTCAAATCGATGATGACCATGTTCTCGCTGAGGCTGCTTTTGACTTCACTTCTTATGAAGTTATCTAAGGGACCCTTCCCATTGATGAGTTTCGGTCTGAAGTCTAGGTCAGAATCCACATGACAGTCGTGTTCCAAGATGTCCAAAGAGGCTTCCATATCAGTGACTTTCTCTTCTCCTGAGGTGCTCTGAGAGCTTCTGTCGTCTGGCTCATCCTTGGCTTTCTCCTTGTGGACAACATTCAGGCGCTTGAACGGCAGACGGGCTGAAACAGAGAAAGAGTCTGTGTTTCCAGTCAAAGCACAGTGACAACCCACCAATGCTTTAGAATCCTGTGTGCTTGGAAGCTATGGACCTTGCTGGGCTTTGGAAGGAGACTTACTCAATTTTAAAATGGAGGGCCGGGGATATAGCTCAGTGGCATAAGCACCTGCCTGGCAAGCGCAGGGTCCTGAGTTCAATTCCCGGTACCCAAAAAATTAAATAAATAAATAAATAAATAAATAAATAAATAAATAAATAAATAAATAAATAAATAAATAAAATGGAGCCAGGCATGAAAGTTTACTCCTGTAATCCTTGCACTCTTGGAGGCTGAGGCAGGAGGATGACAGGTTTGAGCCCAGCCTGGGCAACTTAGCAAGACTCTGTTTCAAAATAAAAAAGAGGCTGGCTGGGGAAATGGCTCTACATGAAGGCCCTGAGTTCAATTTTCAACACCAGGAAAAGGAAGGGAAGTGGTAGAGCACTTCCATAGCATGCACAAGGACCTGGGTTCATCCCCAGTGCTGTAAATAAACTAATTAAGTAATTAATTAAATGGTCCTATCAGGGCTGGAGATTGAACCCTAGGGGCCTTCGCACTGAGTTACATCTGCATCCTTTCTTTTTTATTTTGAGACAGTGTTTTGCTAAGTTAAGTTACCCAGACTGGGGTTGAACTTGAGATCCTCTTGCCTCACCCTCTCAGAGTATTGAGATCACAGGTGTGTGCTACCACACTTAGCTGCCCAGATTTACTTATATGGGTGAAAATTCCATTTGAAGGTAAGAATTTCTGGTTCCTAAAAGAGAAATACTCTGCCCAGAGGTGGAAAGACTTTTCTTTCTGGCTCCAACTGTCAAATTTGCTGACCAATCAAACACCTTTCTCCCAGCCCCTGCCAGGTTTGGGCTGGGAACAAAAAACACAGTTGACAACTCTAAGTAGTGAGGAAATTTAAATGAATGAACTCAAGAAGTTTATATTCACTTAAATGCCAAATTACCTCTTACTATTTCATCTTGTAATAGACAAAAAAAAAAAAAAAAGAACAAAACAAACTATTCCTTCGGCTTTTTGGGTGTGTGTGTAAGAGATTGAATCTAGAGCCTTTACACTGAGCTCCACATCCTGTCCTCTTCTTTATTTTGTACTGAGAGTCTCACTAAATTACCCAGGTTGGATCATCACCTTCCCACTTACACTCTGGGTTTATAAAACAAGGGTGCCCTCAGGCTCTGTGCCTTTGTCCCAATTTCTCCCTCTGTGGATACCTGCTCCACAGGATTCCCACCAACACCAAAGGTGCTAGCAGTCACCACAGAAGAAGGCAGACTGCCAGAGGCAAACAAGAGTGATAACTCAGTTTTAAAACTGGAAACCAGGGGCTGGGGATTTAGCTCAGCGGCAAAAGCGCCTGCCTGGCAAG